GGGTTTCCTCTCTCACTCATTCACCTGCGGGTTCCCTTCTCCCTCCCCTCACAGAGCCAGACTGCTTCTTCTTTTGCTCCCCAACAAAACCCAATCAATCATTTCCTGAGTTACACCGCCAAGCAATGCCAGGGAAATCTGCTAGTGTTTATAAATTGGACAAGAATGGAATTCTAGACAGTGAAGGGGATTGAAATATGATATAAAAAGCTTTCACCTCTAAGTTGTCAATTCAAGTAGTGCCCAAGGGAGAAGTCATTACAATTCAAAACCTTTTTAAAAATATGGAAAATGTACTTAATTCAGTACAATTCCTAGTGGATGTGTCCACATAAGTCACCTTCAAAACAATACCCATGTCAGTCATTGCAGAATTATTTAGTGGATCATAAAAATGAAGTTATCCTCAATTCTAGGTGATCTTTATCTAGAACTTGACTGAGACAGAAGAGGTTGTGTGGAAGGTGAGACTATCCTAGACACAATGCAAAAACATAGCCCCCTGCTGGCTACACTTTCATACGAGTCTTACTTGTTACTTCAAACACTAGGTAGAAGAAAAAAAGGCAATTATTCCTCATAGGGGAATTTTGCATCACTGTATGCACAGAATTAATGCCCTCTACTGATGTATTTGCTTCCCTGCAGAAAAATGACTTCTGATGGGGAAGGGATGGCATAAGAGCCTTCACAAGTCTCTCCCTAAAAGTGCAGGCAGGTTGATTTGAGCACCCAGAATAGCTTAGAGAGACATAAAAGCACTGCTGGGTTGGGGAGCAAGACAATCACACATGCGAGAGGAAAAAAAAGCCACATATAAACACACAGTGCTTTTGGCATGCTCATCATAGACAGGGCATTGGAATGTTTCTGAGCAGCTAAGTGCAGGGCAAGCAGAGTAGAACTAGCAGCCTGCCTGCCTAGTAAATTGTTCTCATTGGCCTTAGTGGAATTCCCCCAAGAGTTTAAAACAGGCACAAAAATTTTAAGACTCCTTTACATTGCCAGACATCCTTTACATTGGTGTAAAGAGCCTTACTGTAAAAGACAATATAGCTTTACAAATACTTATGGTACTTCAGTAACTAGAACTGGTCTACATTTTTGGATTGAAAAAATTCCTATTAGGATATGCTCCATGAACTGTTAGCTACTGACCTTTTGTAGATGGTCAATCAATATAAAATGTGAATTTGAGTCCCTAGTAGGGATGTAATATCCTGTTTAATCCGTTAACTGTTATGTCTAATTGGTTAACAGGTTAAGCAGGGGTGAGCCAGGTGGCTGCTCTTACCAGGTCTACTATGCCACACTGCAGGCAGAGGGCTGCTCCAGCTAGTTAACTGGTAAGAATCACATAATAGAGTGATGCTTACTGTTAACCATTACATCCCTAAGTTCCCAGTCATTTGCTCTTCAGTTGTCTATGAAGAAACACCAAGCATATAGCTGCATATATTTGTTGACAAATAACTAGAAGTAAAAGATCATTACTAGCTACATTACCTTATAGATTTCCTTCAATTCTCCACATCTCATCATCCAACCAGTATGATTATATAAATATGCAAGTTGTACAAAACAATACATTGTACAAAACTTAATTTTTTGGAGAAGAATTTCCCCAAGAACAAGTAACTGTTCATACAGAACATCACAACATTTTGTAGCTATCCTCAGCCATGTGACAAACATGCAAATTCAGATTGGTATTCTTCACAGCATCTTACAAGTTTTCTGTTTTAGAGATGTAAAATCCCATTTAATCAGTTAACCGGTTAAACAATGTTTAACTAGTTAACATCTTAAACAGGGGGTGGGTGAGATGGAGCACCCCTGCCCTCCACCATTGACGGGCTGCTCCAGCCGGGCTGGAGTGCTCTACACCTGTGACGCGCCCTGCTGGGCTAGAGCAACTTCCTGCCCACAGAGTGGGCGCTGCTCCGCCCACCAGTCAACTGTAACCAGTAAACACTGTTCAGTAAGGATGATGATGCTTATGGTTAACCATTCACATCCCTATTCTGTTTATTTCTATTTTTTTAAAAAAAAAAACCTCAGGAACAGCTCAGTCTTTTCTATTTCAGAGCTATACTTCAGTAAGATGTCAATACTTTCAGCTTCCTTTGCTATGCCAACTGATTAAGTAAAATTGTACTTAATGCTTCTATAGGGAGGTTAATAAATTAAAAATAATTACTCATATTACTTAATTACTCAAGAACTGCCTTTTTTCCCCTGTAGCAAATTTTTCAAACGTAACTGTCAAAAGTATAGGCTACATCTTAGTAAGAACCCCAGGATAGAAGGTTCTTCCAATCTTGTATGATTACAGAAAAGCACCAATCATTAAAAAGCTTCCAAGCTACAAAGCTGTTGATTTTAGAATTATTGGAATGCTGGAAATGTCAAACATAGCATAAAAATAGAGTGGAAAGGGACCTCAAGAAGCCATTCAGTTTAGACCCTTAAGCTGTGGCAGGAGTACGGATGTAAAATCCCATTTAATTAATTAACTGGTTAAACAATTAAGGGGAAGCAGACTAGAGCTGCCCTCCTACTGCAAGCAGTGGTTGCTCCAGCCCAGCCAGTGCAGCCCCTGTCCACAGTGGACCTCACAGAGCTGGAGCAACCCCCTGCCCATGGTGGGCAGGGAGCTGCTCCAGCCCCCACTGGTTAACTGAAATCAGTAAGCATCACCCTTAATGGTGATCATCATTAACCATCCTTATCCCTAGGAAGGACCAAGTAAATCTACACCACTCCCAACTCGTGTTGTCTGTTTTTAATGTCTTTCAGTGATGTGGAGCAGTGGTATGCAACCCGTGGTCGTGGAGGTCTTCCTGGGGGTTGCTGCGCTGCTACCAACAGCCAGGCCCAGCCCCCGGTCTTCCGGATCTCCAGCCCCTGGGCCCAGCCCCTGGCAGCCTGGATCTAAGCACCATGCCACACGGCTGCTGGTCAGGCCCAGATACGGGGGGCGTGGTTGAAAAAAGGTTGTGTGCCACTGATGTAAAGAATGCAACCTCCCTTGAAAGCAGGGATGTAAAATCCAGTTTAATTGGTTAAGGGTTAAACAATATTTAACTGCTTAAACAATTAAACTGACCTAAGCAGCTCACTGCACAGCAGGCCCACAGGGCTGGAGGAGCCCCAAGAGTCAACCATAACCAGTAAGCCTCACCTGTTGAGATTTTCCAGTTATCCCTAATAAGGATGTGAATGTTTAACCAGTTAACACGCAGTCAACTAAACGATTAACCGATAAGCCGGGCCCCTCGCTGGAGCCGGTATCCATGAAGAGCCAGCTGCCCACAAGCACAGATCCCACAGAGCTACTTGCCCCACCACTGCCTCTAATAGAGGCAGCAGGGTAGGGGAGCAATAGAGCAGGGAAGGCTGCCATGGAGTCCCAGGCTTGCCATAGACAGAGGCTGCTCTGTGCGATGCCAGCACAGCCTCCCCTACCATGGGGTGGCAAGGTGCTCCCCGGGAGCAAGGCTGGGAGTGCACTGGCTGCCGGTCTTTCACCCTGGAGACTATCAAATAATCATGTAATTGCTAATATTTGATGCAGTTACATGATTATTCAATTACTCAATGTCTAACATCCCTAATCCCTACTTGGAAGCCTGTTTCAGAGCTTTAATTATCCTCAGACATATTTTCCCCCTAATATCTAACCTCAATCTCCCTTACTTCTTATCCTGTCTTCACAGAACAAAACTGAAGATAGTCCTCTTTGTAATACTGGAAGAATAATCAGATTCCTTCTTCCCTCCCCCAACCTCTCTTAAAACTGAACTTGCCCACTTTTTAACCTTTCCTCTAGGGATTAAAGAGAGTAATTATTCGACTACTCACTCCCCCTGCCTCTTGCTGCCTAGGCTTATCAGGCAGGTGAGTCAAATACTCACTCCACCTGCCCCTTGCTGCCTCTTAAAAGCTGGTTCCCCCCAGCACCATCTCCATGGTGTGAAGAGAGAACAGGGAAGGCAGAGGCACAAGGGTCTAGGTCGCAGACCTACTCCACAGCAGCTCTGCCTTTTAAAGGCAGCAAGAGCCATCCAGGGTTTGCCAAGACCTGGCTCACACCAGGTCTGGGACCTACACCCGCTGTAGCTCTGCAGTTTACATGTAGTAGGAGTTGGGCTGCCTGCATGGGGCCACAGTGGGGCCCTTAACTGACTAATCGTGTCCTTGATACAATTTGTATCAAATACATGATTAGTTCATTACTTGCTTTTTAACAGCCTTACTTTCCCACACAGGTCAGCTTTTATCTTTTGTTGTTTATCTTGTTTATCTCCTCTGGATTCTTTCCTTCTTGTCCACATCTTTCCTAAAAAACTCTGGTGCTCAGCTGGGGCCTTACCAGTGCCACATACAGCAGGACAACTCCCTCCTGTATCTTACATACAACCATCTTGCTAATACACCCCAGAATCCTATTAGCCCCTTTTACAGCTGCATCACATTAACATTTATATTCAGTTTGTGGCCCACTATAACTCCCAAGATCTGTTTCAACAGTACTAACATTTAGACATGTGGTTCCCCATCTTGTAGCTGGGCATTTGATTTTTTTCTTCTAATTGAAGTATTGCACACTTGTCTTTGAAGAATTGATCTGAATTCACTAAGATGACAGTCAATAGCTTGTCATTTTGAATTTAAATCCATCCTCCAAAGTGCTCATAACCCCTCCCAGCTTGGTGGCATCCTCAAATATTATGATTACTCTACTCCAGTGATTCTCAAAGTTTTTTGTATTGGTGATTCCTTTCACACAGTAAGCCTCTGAATTCAAGTCCCACCTCCCCACTAGATACACCCTCACAGTTTTACAGCAGACTACAGATAACTACTCTGAGTATCATACTCATAGGACAGTAGCACATAAAGTTAGTTCTCTGCCGCTATGGAACCATTAGATTTTTTTCTTGAACATGCTATGACTGCGTATCTGTGTTATGACTGCGTATCTGTGTTACACTCACATCAGCTCCTTCTAAGGATTTTTTCAGCACAGCAACGACTTCCTCTTGGAATGCAACTTCATCCACACATTTTGGACGACTAGATGAAAAGACAGATATGTGCATTTTAACATCTACTAAAAATTCTCAATATCATTTTCATCCAAAAATTAATGTTTTCCTTATATATACACCACTTTGTAAAATGAATGACTAAGAAATTTTGTGCAATGCCACTAAACTGCATAGCATCTTGCACAAAAATGCTAAGTGAGGTAACTTTTTCACAGGAATGTGCCAGTCTAGCTATAAACTGAAGTACTTTCAGAAGCACTGCTACATTTTAGAGTTGGCTTTATTGCCTGGATGGCTGGTGCAAAATCTTGTATCACAGGTTGATTAGTTCGTGTCTTGATAAAATGCATTTGTGATAAACGAGTGCACATGCAAAAAAAATGCTCACTTTACATCATATTGCTGCTCTGTGTATTAAAGACACTGAGTGTAGTGACAAAACACTTCACAGTACAACTATCAGCCTTCCACAGATCTACACATGCAGACATAGGCAACTGGCACCTGCTGAATGAAAGAGGTTGGGAGGGCCACGGAGAGGGACAGATGCCTCTCAGAGAGGGCAGCAGTGCGGAGGGTGAGGGGGGCAGGCGGGAGCCAATACGTGTGGGGATACATCATAAAAAGCCGGTTCCTCTCAGCACCAGCTCCCCGGTGCCGCCTGTCCCTCCCTGCACTGCTTCCTGTATCAGAAGTAGGGGGAAGGGAACAGGGGAGGCTGCTGTGAAGCAGCCTCTATCCACAGCAGGCC